CCAGTGTGTAGCTTGTCTTTGTATTCTCTTAATCATGTCTTTTGCATAACTAAAGTTTTAGACTTCGGTGAGGTTCGATGTATCTATTTTTTTCTTTTATAGATCATGTTTGGAGTCAGGTTTGAAAAATTGCTGCCTACCAAGAGGTCGTTCAAACTCTCTTCTACGTCTTCTTCTAAAAGTTTGTAGTTTTATATTATAGGTAGGGATCATTTGGGGTTAAATGTGGTATAAAGTGAATTTGGATTGAGGTTCAGCTGTTTGCATAAGGATTTTCCACTGTTCCAACATTGTTGAGAACATTATTTTTCCATTGAATGATCTTTGCACCTTTGCCAAATTGTTGGTCAGGTTTGAGTGGATACATCTCTAGACTCTTCTGTTCCATTGACCTATGTGCACCTTCCTCCTCCAATACCACATTGCCTTGAGGACTACAGTGGTCTAGTAAAATCAAGTCATGTGACTTCTCTGACTTTATTCTCTTTCACAATTGTTCAGCTATCTTGGTTCCCTCGCACTTTCATATAGTTTCAGAATCAGTTTGTCTGTATGTAAACAAAATCACATCAAACCTGTATATCAATTTGAGCAGAGAATCAACATCTTTACTATGTTGAGTCTTCCCATTTATGAATATAGTATGTGTCTCCATTTATCTAAGTCCTCTTTGATTTCTTCCACCAGTGTTTTCTAGTTTGGGGCATAAAGATTCTGTACACTTTTTGTTAGATTTATACATAATAATTTGTTTCTTTGATGCAATTATACATGGTAGTGTTTTTTTTTTTAATTTTGACGTTTTAATTGTTCATTTCATATATTAAGTGTATGACTAATTCCTGTAGTCCCAAGTCTTTGAGAGGCTGAGTGGGGAAGATCCCTTGAGTCCAGGAGTTTGGGTTCAACCTGGAAACATAGTGAGACCTCGTCTCTAAATTTGTTTTTAACAATAGGTATATGATTGACTAAATGCCCTTTTAGTAATAGGTTGTTATGATGATAATATAACAATAACTATAACTATATAACTACTTAAAATTATTTGTGCAAAACCAAAAAGCCCAGGTCAAAGTCCTAATTCAGTCACTCTTCAATGCATCGATAATCCCAAAATTTATGTGACTCCGTGACAATTGTTCTATTTACCTAAGATCTATCCAGTGTGCTTGGTTCTGCATTAAAAGTGAACTAAATAGTCTACACGTTCATTCAACAAACAGTTGATGCTTATTGTATACTTAATTCTGTGCTGAGGACCATAAATAAACCAACTGCCTTTTCCCTGGACAGTTCTGATCTCTGATTATATAAACCCTACCAACTTCAGGTGTACCTTAAAAGATTCCAATTACCTTTCCCTCAAAAGTGTGGGGACCAGTACATATATTATAAAAAATAACTCACAGAAATATGGCCTTTTTTCCTTTATCATTCAAAGCAGGGGTGCATAATTCATATTTGAAATGTTATTATCTACAGCGTGTTTCATTGGCTCACAACATGAGAGTTTTAATACTGAAATCTGCAGAATGCAACTGAATATTTATTTCTTTAAAAACCCCTATGCAAAAGTTGAAAGCATTTTTCTACTTTACTCACAGCATGAGCGATTTAAAGGTGAATGAACTTTTTGTGACTCAAAATTCAATACACAGGATGTAGAAAAACAGGTTGCAAACAACACCGGGAGAGTGGCTTGCCCTGAATTTTGGGCTGTTTCAATTCTTTCTAACCATTAGAGTGGGATCTGATTAATAACTTCATCTAGTAGACATAAAAACCACTAGTGGGTATTTGTCTTACAGTAAGTTTTTAAAACAGTTTTCTGGCTCATCTTTGTTTTTTAATTCTTAATTGCACTCTCCCTCTCTTGTTGGAGGAGAGGAGTTGCAAGGTGGGCTGGGGGTGGCTGGACACAACTGGTCATTGAACAGAGTGGCATCAGGGAAAAGACAGATAACATGAGGAGAGGCAGAAGGTCACTTGGGTTCTCACAGCATTCGCAGAGAGAATACGTTGGAACAAGAAGAATCTGGGGCTTGAACCAGGACTGCAATGCCTCCACTTTGTCCCCGGCTGCTCTGACATCTTCAAGTCCAAAGGCATCCAGCATCTGCCACTATGGAGACCAAGCATGATGACCTCACTCCTCTGTATGTGGAAGACTTGTCAGTGGATAGGCCAGTGCCTGTCCATGGAGTCTCGTGCGGCCTTCAATGGGTGGAACAGAATGACTGTGGCCTGTAATCTCTGGCTAAAATACGGTCACAGTCCCAGTGGTTAACAAACGAACAAGAAACACAAAACAAGAAAGATGCAGTTAAGTGGTAAAACACGTGGTGCCAATTATTACTGGATCTTTCCTTCATCATTAATGTATTAAAAGTCCTCAAGCAGAGACTTTGTCCGTTTCCTTTCGCTGCACTTGCAGGACTGGGACCACGCCTGTCGCTGGCGTCTAATCTGGATTGCGTCGGGCCCAGGGTGAGGCATCCGAGATGAAGAACCAGGTGCTCTGTCCCTGAGGGGCTGACAGCCTGGTGGAGGAGAGGGACAAATGCACCTGTTGATGCCCTGCTGCACCCACAACCCCACAGCAAGGAGGCTGTGGACAAGCGGGGCAGGAGACAGAGATTGGGATGCTGTTGCCCAGGAGAACTGAACAATCTAAGACGGGAGATGCTGGGGACAGAAGGAGGGCGTGGTGACAGGGAGAACCCCCACTCCAAGGCTCGGGGTGAAGGACACGTGACCCATTCGCACAGCAGACTGGCGTGGCTGGGGAATCAGGGGTGTGGCAGAGAAGGGACAGATACCACAGCAGGGGAAAAGCTGGACTGAGTGCACTGGGAGTTCTGACTCCTAACAAGGCTGAAGCTAGAGCACAGAGCCTGCAGGAGGTGTTCAGGGGTGACAGGGCTCATTCTGCCGGCAAGGATGGTCCACTGGACATTGGTAGATGGGAGGGACATCAGCCCTGACCTGTGCGTCAGAAAGCTTTTTCTGCCGCAGTGCTGGTTAAGCTGGGAGGGCCTCGAGGGGCAGAGCATTCCAACAAGGCAGGGGAAGGACCTTGGCTCCTTCTGCCGGGTGAACCGGGCTAGCAGGGACCGGGGAGGTGGGTGAGCTACTGTTACCCACGTGAAGAGCTGGGGGTAAGTGCAAGAAAATTTTTTTAAATGTGGGGTACAATTCAGGATTAGGTATATAAGTGATCATCACACAGGTAAAATTCGGGCCTCCCTCTGATCCCCACTTGGCCTGGTTTGAGATCAGATACCCTTATTGATGTTATGTGCCGTCCCCCTTCCCTAGCAGTTTCCAGCTACTGTCAATCCCTTTCTTATAGTATTAGGGTAAACATTTAGGGTCTGCTTATGAGTAAAAGAAATGTCTTAAAGTTTTTTAACCAAGTACACAGGGAAGTCGAGCTGAGGAAAGAGTCAACGGTCCACCCCTGAGGGTCTGGGACCCATATCAGGCTCTACCACAGAGGTTGAAAGTGAATAGGAGCCAGGGAGCCCTGAGTGTTTTGCAAACACTGTCCCTGGAAAGGCTAGCATGTGATCACCATGGAATTAAACCCACTGCATCGTCGTGGCAAGTTCCAGAAGAGCACACTGTCAGCTTCTTGGGGGGTCACACTGTCCTCTAGAGGAGAAGGGAGACCGGAGGGAAATGCTTCGAGTGACTGCAACACGTCTAGCTGATTTGCTGTAGAAGAGACAATGCCAGGCCACCCAGCTGAGTACCTCCAATCCTCTGAACCTCCTCCTGCTCAGGGTGGGTTCTTCACGTGCATGATGTTTTTGCGCCAGTGGGTGCTGGGAATCTCAAGAAGAGAGCGAAGGGAATCAGCAAAATCTGCTCTGCAAGAGTCTCTGAAGCACCCTCCTGGACTTTCAGAGGTCTCAGGGTGGCCCTCTATTCCTGTCAGCATTTGCAGCCAACACAACCCATGGAGCCTGTGGAGACCACTACTCCCCGACCCCTGGGGGTTGGTTCTTCTCCCTCTGGAGCGGGAGCCTCTCCAGCAGGTCTTCCCAATGGCTGTCTCCAGAGCAATTCTCACTGACCTGGAATGTTCTGGCTCTGCTGACTATGAAACAACCTCAGGCACTCACACCCAGTCATTCCTTTTCCCCTCCTCCTTACTCAAGGTGTGGAAGAGATCATCCCAACTCAGGCAGACTGGGTGCAACGGAGACACGAGACATTTATGTTAAGAAACAGAGGCTGGCTTGTGTCATACAACCGTTCCAAAGCTGATTGGCTGACTTGTCTTTTGCTGTTATGTGTGTTTTCGGGGTCATTCCTGAGCATCTTCCTTTATTCAGAAGCCTAGGGATAAATCATGTTTTCTCTCCACACTTTGCCTAACCTGCTCCTGTTTTAGACAGAGTCGCCCTTAAAGCACCTTCACGTCCCCTCTGTCCACTTATTTGACTTCAGGAGAAACAGATGCTGAGTCAGTGATAGAAATGTCTGTACAGCACAGTACAATTACATAACCACACACCCTGACACTGAGTCCTACACCCGCCCAGTGTGTCCTGCGGCACACGAGGGCTTCCTAGCATCAGGTCTAGATTCAAAAAATCCAGACCAGGCTGGGTGTGATGGTTCATGCCTGTAATCCCAGTACTTTGGGAGGCAGAGACTGGTGGATTGCTTGAGGCCATAAGTGTGAGACCAGCCTGGGCAACATAGCGAGACCCTGTCTCTACAAAAAAATTTAAAAATTAATCAAGTATGGTGGCATGCACCTGTAGTCCCAGTTTCTTGGGAGGCTGAGGTGGGAGGACCACCTGAGCCCAGGGTCGAGGATGCAGTAAGTCATGATCGTGTCACTACACTCTAGCCTGGGCAATAGAGTATGATCCTGACTCAAAAAAAAAACAGTCCAGAACATAAAGGAGAAGGGATACAGCGTCCCCAAGGAGACAAGACACAGGGATGCTGCCCTTGCCTAAGGATGCCGTGCCTCTGTCTTTCAGGACTCACACCACGCGGCAAGAACCACTCACTATGGCTCCCTGCCCCAGAAGTCACAGCATGGCCGTGCCCAGGACGAAAACCCTGTAGTGCACTTCTTCAAGAACATTGTAAGTGACGGTCTTCAGGGGAAGGGGTCCCAGGGGGTAGGCCACCATAACCGTCATGGGACATGAGCACATTTTCGGTGACAGCAAGGCCCTTGTCAGGTTGAGGTTAGCTGCTGGAGCTCAACCCTTATGCCTCGAGTTCCAAACAGGTGCTTGCAAACCTCCAGTCGCTCACTGAGCTGGGTGTTCTGCCCAAGAACTCACTTCTCTTGGGACGAGACACCATGTCACGATGCTTAGTTTAAAAGCACAGGCTTACAGGCTGGGCATGGTGGCTCACACCTGTAATACCAGTACTTTGGAAGGCGCAGACGAGAGGATTGCCTGAGTGCAGGGATTCGAGACCAGCCTGGAAACTTAGTGAGACCTCATCTCTACAATAAATAAAAAAAGTAGCTGGGTGGGGTGGCAGCTACTTGGAAGGCTGAGGCAGAAGAATCACCTGAGCCCAGTAGGTTGAGGCTGCAGCGCCTGTGAGTATGCCACTGCTTCTTCGCCTGGGCGACAGAGGGAGATTCTGACTCAAAAATAAAATAAAAGCACAGGCTTTGCAAACCTACAAAGACAGTCAAAAGAGCAGAGATTGTCAAGGGCCAGGGGAGGGAGGGACGAGCAGGTGGAGTGTGGAGCATATTTAGGGCAGTGAAGCTGCCCCATAACATGTGGTCACAGTGGCTACAGATTAGACATTTGTCCAAATCACAGAATGCATGACAGAGTGACCCTAATGGAAACTATGGACTTTAGTTAATCATGTATCAATATTTGTTCACCAATTGTGGTGAATGAACCACACGAATGTAAAATGTTACCAATAAGGGAAACTGCCAGGGTCTAACTGTCTGTAATTTCTACACAATTTTTCTATAAACTTAGAACTGCTCTGCCAAATGCAGTCTGTTAAAAATGAGAACAATCAGCAGTAACAGGACACTGCTAGAGGAAGGGGGGCGGGGGCAGCATGTAACACCACTAAGGGTACCTGACCCTAAACCAGGGGATATAAGCATCACTTAGGGGCCCAAACTTCACCTGCCCATAAACTACTGATGTACCTAATCCTGACTTATACCCCACGTCTTTACAATAAAGAAAAAAATGAGAACAAGCCCGCAGGCTTCTGACCATCAAGTCTCAATGTTGCAGACGTTTCATGGAATTATTGTGATGGGTGAGTTTAGGAGCCCCAGACTCGAGGTCATCCCCTCTCATGCTCCAAATGTCAGAGGACACTTTCCTTCCTGCCCTGGAAGGGCTCCCAGTGAAGGTCATGGCCTCCATCAAGTGCAACGGGTGTGTGTCTTTGCTTTGGGCCCAGACGAGCCAGTTCCCTCGCTGCTGGGACTTTGGGAGGGAGTTTCCACTCTCTCAAACATGTTCTGAGTGTTCTGGAAGACTTGGGCCATCTTGGATAGCCTTTGAGTCTCGGGTACTACGTTTTTTGACCAAGTAGGCAGAAATGGAGAAGTGGACAGAAGGCAGTTGGGTTCTTACACCTAAGGGACACTAGTGCTCTTGGGAACAGGAGCTAGTCAGGAGAGAGCAGGCAGTGACACAGGACCCTCCAAGAGAGTCAGGGCTGCTGGGGGTGGAGGTCCCCCATGCGGCCTCCCCACTGTTCTCTGTGTCTTTCCAGGTGACACCTCGCACACCTCCTCCATCACAAGGAAAGGTAAGACCTATGGACGTTTTGATTAACCATCACTTATTTCGAGACCTTCTCTGAACCCCAAAACATACCCAAAAGAGAGTTGGGCTCAGCTACCTGAATTCATCCCAAAACATGTTGCCACACGACTCCCAGGTAGCACAGGCAGAGAATCCCTGCATTCTTACCTCCACCCAGGTCCTCACCATGGTCCTTACCTCAAGGTTCCAGGCAGACGTGCCTCCATGGGCAGGTGGGGCTGGTATGCCATCCCAGCGCTGTGCTGTTTTGATGATTTTTCTTGTTTATTAAAAGAACTATCTTCCCCTCACTGATCACCATGTCACTCTTTCTTTCTCTTCCTCACGCAGGGGAGAGGACTGTCCCTCAGCAGATTTAGCTGGGTAGGTGACAAACATGCTTCCGTCCAGCTTCCTCCCGGCCTGCCACCCCTCAACTTTTTTTTGTTCTGCTGTTTCAGTTGCTTGATGCCACCCCCTCCTTTCTTTCCCATCAAGAGCAGTGGCCTCAGCTGCACATGGCTGGCTTTCTCTTTCAGAGGGGAGATGACAAACGATCTTCCCTTTCAGCGTATTAAGGCCTCTGGTTTCTGAACCCAGGGTTCACTGCAAGGCCAAACCCTCCTTTCACAGAGGGTTCCTGGCACACCCGGATCCTCCCAGGGGAGGAGCTATGCCATGTTGAGAATTATTCTAATCTCCTTCTAATTGATGGGAAAAACAAGTCCCAGAAGTCCAAATGTGGGACTGTAGTGGGCTTGCCCGTCTAAATAACCCCAATGTGAGTAAATTTTCCCCCAACTAAATTGTCAAGGAAAAATGATACCACTGATGGAAAAAAAGAAAAAGAAAAAAGAGGCTGAATTCAGTTTTTCAATGTATGGTAACCTCACTAATCCAAAAGATTTTGGCCTAGATTTTGTTTTAGTAATAACTGAAACTTAGCTATCAAACCATCCAGGAAGCTCTCCTTAGGAATTTTAGGCTTTTTAATACCAAGAGCAAAGTTCCAATGAAGATTTTAAATGATTAGGTTCGTTTTCACTTTCTTGTGTATTTAGAGTCTGGACCCATTTAAAATGCCTACCATTATATCCTAATCAAACTTATACACTTTAGTTCTCGCAAATATCAAACATGGTTCCTACTGTATAAACATTTTCAGAATAAAATGGAGGAACTAATTGCTTGGAGACAGGTCTATCTCAGGAACTACAATACCCATACTCTAAAGCAGAGCCCGCCTGACAGTTGGCAAGCATCAGAAAAATGGATGAACAAATGTTAAAAGAGAAAAAGACAGAACAAGGGGAAAGAAGACCGTGAAGAAAAAAAGAACAGGGGAAAAAATAGAAGGGAGTGAGGAGCGAAAGGAAAAGAGGGAGGGAGAGAGCATTTGAGAGAAAAATCGAGAAAAGATTCCAAGAAGCTCCTGAATTATTCCAACATATTTGCTGAAACATTTTAAATTAATGCATATTTGACTTGCTTTTTCTGACCTAATTAATTTACCAAAAAATAACAATAGTGTAGCAAATTTATAGAGACTGGCACTTGCAGCCAATTAATCTTTGATTTTCTGTACCAACAGGAGATAAAGATGATATTGAATAATGAATTCCATTTTTGACCCAGAAATCATATTTTAGCTCCCCGCTTGACCTGCTTCTTAATTTTCTAGGAGTGGACTTTTTGGGCAGTATGCACAGTCCTCCTTGGATGTGGCATAATGGGGGTCACACAGAGCCCATTCCAACTGCCAGCTACCTTGCGTTCCTCCCTGCATTTCTCCATTTTGGGCTCTACTAACGTTTGTTGAATTTCTCTTTCTTCCAAAGCAAAGTCCTTCTCTGCATTTAGTCTGCTGTCTGTCTGTTTTCCAGATCCTCGGAATGTCCCCTTGTGGGGAGTTTCCAAAAGCCTCACCTTCTATTTAACTATATTGTGTGTTTCCTGGTAAATTCTAGGTTGTCCAAAGATAAATGTGACTAAGAATTTGAATAGAGGAAAAATCAAGCTAGCTATCAATCTGAAAGTCAATCCCTGAATTTAGTTCTTGGAAGCTTTACTTTTGGAGAAAACCAATAGAATGAGACAAGCCAAGTGAGCACTCACACGGGAAGCGAATTTTCCGTCTGGCTGTTTGTCCTTCCCTGCCTGTCATCTCCTCTCTGCACCATCAAGAAGCAAGCGTGTCCATGGAACCCTCAGAAAGGCGAGGGCGGTGCTGGCTGCCCTCTTGTGCAGAGTGCTTGGATCTTCTTTGCCACACATTCCTTGTCTCTTACCTCACTAATTATCACATTAAGTAGTTGCCTGGGTTCTGGGGGTCAGTGTGCATTCTTAAGCATGGGCTGAAGGAAGGGAAATGGTAGAAGTGGCTTCTACAGTGTGAAGTACCTGGCAGTGTACCCTGAGCCTGGCTCAGGAGACTTGAGAGCCTCTGGCCTTTCATCGTCTTCACCTCCACAGGAGGGATGGGTGCAGTTGTTCCTCCAGGTCCTTCCTGTCCTAAAAATCTCTCATGAAATTAACAAGGGACTGGACGCTGCCACAAAGGGTATTGAAGGGTAGGTCAGGGGATGGTTCGGGATTTTTTTAGAGTCCTCAAGAGAGGAAATAGTTTCCCCTCCTTTTTGGCAATTCATAAAGGACATCTGGGCTCCATCCTTGGAGTAGAGATCCTGCCCTAAAAAGTTAACAGTCTTGCTAGCCCTCCACTAGACCATGCTTCTCAGTGAGAAGACCTTTCACTCGAAATGTTAATGCTTATCGTGTCTGGGATACCCTCCTCTGAGCCTCTCCATCCTTTCCTCATGTTTACAGTGGAAGTTTCCAATCGAAAAGACAGCAGATTGGAAAAGAAGCTGGTCCCAGGACACATCTGTTCTTAAGTTCCAGTGATCTCATGCCACTGCCACATACCACCAGGAAACTTTCTTCCCTCCCCTACTCCATATTTTAAATTAACTTTAAATTTAATTTTATTATTAGAAACAGGGTCTTGCCCTGTTGCTCAGGCTGGAGTTCAGTGGAGCAATCATAGCTCACTGCAGCCTCAAACACCTGGGTTCAAGTGTCCTCTTATCTTAGCCTCTTGAGCAGCTGGGACCACAGGTGTACACTACCACACCTGACTAATTTTTAATTATTACTTTTTAAAAACTTTTTCGCAGAGATACAGTCTTGCTATGTTATCCAGGCAGGTCTCAAACTCCCAGCCTCAAGTGATCCTCCCACCTCAGCTCCCAAAGTGCTGTATCCTCATTGGATACATGAAGAAACAAGTTCAGAGAGGTTCCTACACTTGCCCACACTCACACAGCTAGGAAGTACAGAGCTGAGACCCTGCCTGGGCTGTCACCGAGGTGTGGCTGCCCCTTGTGCCAGCCTGGCCTGTTTCCTTCCTTCTGACCGACTCAGCAACCCAGGACTCCTGGTAAAGGTCTTAGTCCCAGGTCAAGCTGTGACCAGGCAGATCAGAGAACTGATCACCCTGCGAGAGTTTCCTCCAGACCAGAGAACTAAGAATGGCTTTATACTTTAGAAAAGATACAGGCCTCAGAATTTTACTAAGCCCAAGGCTTCTTGCCCCACCCCCCAGCCCCACCACCAGATAGACCCCTAAGGCAGCAGAACAGATGTGAACAGGATCCAATCTGTGCAAAATGATCAGAAAGGGCCCCAGGGACAGGGCATTGTGTCCTATGCTGACCCCAGGACTTCAAGCGCCCTCTGGACAATAGGCACGTGCCCAGTTCAGACCCCCTAACGGCTCCCTCAAAGCAGCACAGACAGGAGGCTCTTTTCCCTGACTTGCTTGTGCTTGTCATCTTCTCTCGAACACCCCACAGCATAGAGAAGGTAAGCAGTGGTTCCCTGAGTGGTTCAGATTTTTAAAATAAGTGTGTGTGGCCACATGTCACATGACAAGGCCTCAGCCTGAGCCAGAACCCTCTCTTGCTGCAGCAGCTCCTGGTAGACCTGGGACAAGCGGCCTCCCTGGTCCCCGTCCTCAGCTCGATGCTGGCTCATGGCTCGCAAACTACTCACCAGACCCCTTGTGGCCTGGGCCTTTCCCTGTGGTCCTGGTAGCAGCACCCAGTGGTACCCAGTGACCTCCCCTTCTCCACCAGCACTGCAGGGGTCTGAGAGCTCTCTGGTCTTTTCCGGCAGGGAGCTGAAGGGCAGAAGCCCGGATTCGGCTATGGGGGCAGAGCGTCCGACTACAAATCCACTCACAAGGGATTCAAAGGGGCTGATGCCCAGGGCACGCTCTCCAAAATCTTCAAGCTGGTAATGTATCTTCTTCCCATGGGGTTAGCACGAGAGGGCACTGCTTGGGGCCCGGCGGGACATGTGGACTGTGATCAGGCAGCCCAGCTCTGCTGTGTGGGGCGAAGGGGTCCCAGTTCACCCCATCCCCCTGAACAGATGCCAGGGCAGAAAGATCCTAGTTAAGAGAAAAGTTCATACCAGAACCCCCTGCTGAGCTTGGCCAGGAGTGGCAGCCACCTCAGCTCTGGCCACACAGTGCTCTGGGCAGTCTCTGTCCCATGAGGAGCAGTGGGCCAGGTGGTTGGTGTGATCTGTCTTTCTTCACACCTTGGTTTTCTGAGAAGTTCATGGACAGCGAGAGATGTTTTGGAAAGGGCTGCACATGGGTTGGTTCTCCAGGCATTTTCCAAAGTTTCATTCTGGCTTGCACTGGGCCTTGACTCCAGAGCAGGGTCCAGCTGGACATGAGGTTACCCCATGCTGGGGAGATGGGAGTCCAGGAGCAGGAGCAGACAAGGGGAAGGTCATTGGAGCCACATCAAGGACTGCCCAGGAGACTCCAGAAAGGGAGCGACCCATCAGCTAATATGAGCCTGGAATCACCAGCCCCAGGTCAAACTCCAGATCCACTGCTTGTCTGATCCCTGTGTCCCTGGCCCCCAGCCCCCCGAGACTCAATTTCCTCATCTGTGAAATGGGGGTAGGGCCAGGTGCAGTGGCTCATGTCTATAATCCCAGCACTTTGGGAGGCCAAAGTGGGAGGATTCCTTGAGGCCAGGAGTCTGAGACCAGACTGGGCAACATAGTGAGACCTCATCTCTACCAAAAATAAAAAACTTAGTTGGGAGGGGTGTCGTGCACCTATCGTCCCAGCTCCTCAGGAGGCTGAGGCCGGAGGATCACCTGAGCCCAGGAGGTTTAGGCTGTAGTAAGCCGTGATCATGCCACTGCATTCACTTATTCCACAAACCATGTAAGTGAAAGGGGTGACGGATACAGCACGATTGGTGAGTGCTGGCTAGGACTCCTCACAAACAGTAACTGTTATTATTGTTAACAATAATGCCAACTTCACCCAGAAAGCCCTCAGATCATAGAACAGTGCTCTAATTAAGCAAAGGGAGGAGCAAATGAAACTTGGAGTGTAAGTCCACATGGGACGCAGCACTCTCGGCCTCTGTTTTGGAGGAGACCAGGTCTCCCAGGGTATTTCCCTGGGGCCCCGAGGGTGTCTTTCTTAAGAGAAGCAGGACAGTCACCTGCAGTCCAGATTCTTACTCTAAGCCGAGCCCCAAGCTCTCCCCAGGAATGTACCCTTGAAGCAGTCCGCCAACTCTTCATCCCAGAGGCCACAGATGCCTAGCACAGGACACCCATGTGCCAGAGGGGACTCTGCCTTCCCAAGCCTGCACAGGGGCTCGATCCCAGGCCAAACAGACTCTGAGAAGACAGGGTTTGGGCAGGTGGTGGAGGTGGCACTGCCCAAGCTCCCTTGCCTTGTGGCTGGGCCTCAGTGCCTCCCCTCTGAGGCTGCCCTTGAGCTAAGCCCTGTATCGACTGAAACTTGACTGTCAGAAACTCCATTTCCGCCCATCTTAGGGCACAGTCTATTCTAAATCCACTCTAGGGTGTGACAAGAAGCCCTTGTGTGGCCTTGTTCCTTCCCAGGCCCCATTCCAACCTTGGAGGTCGCCATCATTTCCCAAAAAGGCCCTCCCAGGCTTCTAGAACTGGGGGCACTGAAGTCTCAACTGCCTAGAAGCCAGACATGGCGTTTGGGGGCAGTTTCAAGGCTGATTTGAGGCTTCACGTAAGCTTTCTCCATCCCAACTGTGAAGCAGGTCTTCCTCGCTGTAACCTGTCCCAGAATAAACACTGTCTAAGCTGACGCTCCTACTCATTTTTTTTATTAGAATAAAAACCCAGGCCCCACTGATGTCACAAGATCCAATATTAAACAGCTGGGCGCAGTGGCTCATACCTGTAACAATCCCAGCATTTGGGGAGGCTGAGGTGGGAGGATTGCTCGAGCCTAGGCGACATAGTGAGACTTCGTCTCTACAGACAAACAAACAAAAATAGCTGGGCGTGGTTGTGGGCACTTGTAGTCCCAGCTACTCGGGAGGCTGAGGCCGAAGAATCTTCTAAGCCCAGGAGGTCAAGGCTGTGGTGAGCTGTGATTGTGCCAGCGCACTCCAGCCTGGGTGACAGAGAGAGACTCCAACTCAAAAAAAAAAGAAAAGAAAAAAACACAGCTATGACTATTTATAAGGTGTCCCACACGCCACCGAAAGACACACAATAGGAAAGCAGAGGTTGAAAAATGAGAGCGTACTCATGTATTACTCATGTATTGCACAAAACCCTGTTGCCCAGGTCACTGAAAGATTAGTGATCCCTCGAATATTTCCTTCAGACGCAGGAGAGCCGAGTTGGTGCCTAAATCAGGATGAGTCGGTGCTTAGTCCCAGATGTTCCTAGAATATTGTATGCAGACACAGGAGCTCCACATTGGTGCCTAAGCCAGGCCGAGTCTGTGCTTTGCCCCAGACAACAGCCCCTGGGCTCAGTGCTCTGCCATGTGCAAAGGCGGGAGTCCAGGCACAGTAGATGCACTCCCAGGTTCTTGTTCCACAGTAGCTTTGTCACCTTGTGTCCTCCGGTCAGTGATTGCCATGTGTCTGGAAAGCAAGCGTTGTGTGGACTTCATGTTATAGATATTTCTAGTCGTGGGCGAGAGAAGGTGCAGTACCTGTCCTGGGAACTACCTTAGGCTGTTGACCCTGGGGGTTCTGTTGAACATGACTTGCTTTATGTCAGATAAAAACATAGGCAAGAGCCACTCTTCAGCATAAATTCTGAGTAAGAAAATAAATCAAACCACAGACAATCGAGTACCAGGCCCAGTGGAACATATGGAGCCTTCATTCTGGAATGTGGCCACAAGGGAGCAGTGATGAAGCCCTGGAGGGGCAGTGACTTCTGGCCTGAGCCCAGGACTGCGTTCAATGTGCCCACAAGTGACCTCCAAGCCTGACCAGTAGATAAGCTGCTTCTGAATCACTGGAATGTCAGACCCACGTGTGGGCTCCACCCCAGACTCACTGCAACAGTGTCTGAGGGTAGACATAGGTGATGGCAGTGCTGACCTAGGCTTTGGCAAAGATGACCTAGGTATTGACAGTGGTGACCTAGGGTAAGTATTGGCAGTGGTGATCTAGGTGTTAACACTGGTGATCTAGGTGTTAGCAGTGCTGACCCAGGTGTTGGCAGTGCTGACCTAGGTGTTGATAGAGGTGACTTTTGTATTGATAGTGGTGACTTGGATAGGTATTGGCAGTGGTGACCCAGGTGCTGGCAGTGCTAACCTAGGTGTTGACAGTGATGACCTAGGTGTTGACAATGGTGACCCAAGTGGTGGCAGTGCTGACCTACATGTTGACAGTGGTGACCTGGGGAGGTATTGGCAGTGCTGACCTACATGTTGACAGTGGTGACCTAGGTGTTGGCCAATGGGACACTGTCTTTAGGAATGTGAAAAAGCAGCTTGCCTGTCCCTTAAATGATTTATTTATCAACAGCTCCCTTAAAGGAGTTACTTAACAGCATAGAGGCTCTTTTTTTTTTTTTTGAGTTGGAGTCTCACTCTGTTGCCCAGACTGGAATGCAGTGGCCACTCCCGGCCACCACAGCCTCGACCTGCTGGGCTCTGGCGAGCCTCCCGCCTCAGCCTTCTAAGTAGCTGGAACTACAGGTGTGTGCTACCACGCCCGGCTGATTTTTTGATTTATTGTAAAGATGAGGTCTCGCCAAGTTGCCCAGGCAGGTCTCGAACCCGCAGGCTCAGGCAATCTACTCACCTCGGCCTCCCAAAGGACTGGGATTACAGGCTGAGCCACCAAGTCCAGCTGAGGCTCTTTTATAATGCCAAGTACATACTTGGAAAAAGTAAAACCATAATAGCTCAGAATGGCCCCCTTGATCTGCTACTCACTCTGCACTCGGTTCCGATGTGTTTAGTGCTTTGGTCTTCAGGGTCCCAGGCAGTGTGGAGAAGGAAGCATTAGGCCGGGTTGGTATTAGCTACATGTTGGTCTGTTGTGTGGCCAAGAGCACGTTTCTTGTTTATCTTTCTTTCTGGGGGCTCGTGGTTGACACCGAACTTTCAGAGATCAATTTTTTCCACCCACAACCTAAGATAAAAGAGGAAAACACAAGGAAAAAAGAGACTAAAATTTGAACAGAAATTTTAACACACACAAAACTGCAGCTCTCCTTTGTCCAAGTGGCATGACTGTACCTTCTTAGCATGGAGACCCATGCAGGCCAGTTGGACACACCTGGGCTTCACTTCTGCTGTCAACTCTTTTTGTAAATTTCAAATTGTGTTTGTACAAAAAGCAGGTGAATCCTTGGCTTTAAGACAATTTTAAGTCAATGTGTATAGACAAACCGCTCTGTGTAATTGATCCATCTTGGGGCATGGCTGATGACATGGCAATTAGGAAGACTGTCCCCAGGGGTAACGTGGTTGTCCCCTCTTCTCTGGTGTACATAGCACGGGTGCACCACAGTCTCTCCAGAGCAAGTTGCTCCTGTCTTGTTAACCGACCATTCCCCTTAGTCACCCTGGAGTCTCCAGCTGAAGAATAGGCTGCCTATTCAAAGCAAAACAATGCAGTGAACATACTTTCCCCCACAAGAAGGCCATGGGGATACACTGGGCTCCCCAACCTGGAGCCTGGAAATCAGATTCAGTGAATTTTTTTCCTTTTAGTTGGGGTCTCACTCTCACCCAGGCTGAAGTGAAGTGCCATGATCATGGCTCACCACAGCCTCAACCTCCTGGGCTCAAGCGATTCTCACCTTAGCCTCCCCAGTAGCTAGGAATATAAGCATGCACCACTATGCCCAGCTACTTTTTTAAACTTTTCTACAGAGATGAGGTCTTGCAATGTTGCCCAGGCTGGTCTTGAACTCCTGGGCTCAAGCAATCCTCCTACCTCAACCTCCCAAAGTCTTGGGATTACAGGTATGAGCCGCTGCACCTGGGCTGGATTCAAATGAATTTATCCCAAGGCATGGGAAATTCCATCAACACCAGCCGAGGGAGGTGTGAGAAATGGAATGAAAAGACTGACTCTATTTGTTGTCGCTTCTCTCTGCAACGCAAATGGAAGAGAGCCCCAAGTAGTCTGCATCAGGGTGACTCCAGGTTCTCTCATCTAACTCCTCTGTCTTCCTTTTTTAGGGAGGAAGAGACAGTCGCTCTGGATCGCCCATGGCCAGACGCTGAAGCCCTGCCTTGATGTTCTAGAGACCTGCCCTCAGCTTCTTAATTTAACTGCCTTAAAACTTTAACACTTTTTGCCCTGAGTACCTAGTTAGAGCAGACACCCTCTCCCCTAATGTCCGTTGCACTATGCACACAGTAGGGTCAGGTCCCTGATATCCTACTGGCAATTTCTGGCCGTTACATAGAGAAAATGAAAACAGAAAACGGTGAAACTGTCACTTTGTGTTGGAAACCGACGTTTCCTGGGGACTTCCCCAGCCATGCGCCCCCAGACATACGTCGGTCTTCGCAGCTGCAAGTGCACGGATGTCCCTCCAGTTCACCCCTCCATTCTCGGACTTCCTTTTCGTTGTGGTTGGGGCACCCCAAGCTTTGGCCAGCACTGCTATGGAGGCGCACTCTGTAGAGACAGAGGACCAGGCGGCGGGAGGACTGTTGTGATCCAGCTTCCTTTGGTTTTCTTTTCCTGCCCCTTCTCTCACCTCCTAAATTATCTTTATTTTTCCTAACAGGATTAGACAGTCAAGGAGTGGTTTACTACTCGAGGGAGCTTTCGGTATGTGACATGCGGGCCGGGCAGCTGTTAGAGTCCAACGCGGGGCAGCACAGAGAGGGGAGCACGCTCCCAGGTGGCCGCTGCTCCCGCACCCCCACTCGCTGAATTCGTGCGTGGCAGAGAGAGGAGGAGGAGGCAGCCGTGGGCTGGGCCGTGGCCGCGCGCAGGAAACAAGGTCTTCTTGGAGATTAGGTGATGGCGATGACGTGCAGGTGGCCTCTGGGTGTCACCGTCACTCCGCGTGTTAGCACCGGAGCGGCCTCTGCACACAACCTCGTTTCCAGGCCAGTGCCCACAGCCGGAGAGTCCAGGGAGACTCGCGCGTCTCGGAGCAGAGCGGTAGGAGTCCTCTGGGTGGCCTCACAGTGTCACCCTGGTCACTTTCGACACTGGGTGTGACCGGGCTGTGCCTAATGGCAGTGCATATCGGCAAACACTAACCTTTCGTGAGAAGATAACCGTTGCAGCACCTCGCCTCCTAGAGATGACCCGTCCTTTGTGGACAGACGTAGGCACGCTCCCATTCCTGAATACTGACAGACGCACAGGCTGGAGTCACCAGCTGTGCGAGGGCGACCAAGAACTTTCTGGGATCGTGCCTTCTCTAATACCCACTGACATTTCCTTTCGTTCCCCCTAACATACTCATCCTCGCCTTTTGATTTGAGCGTGTCCATTACAGGCCTTCCAAAGAGCCCACACTAGCATCGTCCTCCCTTAGAACGAAGACGAGGAGTAGTCGACGTAATGCCAAATGCATCTCTTAATCCCGTTCTAATTCTGAATGTGTAGTGTGGGTTTAATATAATGTCAATTAATATAGAGCCTCCATAATGAGAGGGTTAAAAAAAAAAAGGAACAAAACTCCAGACACAAAACCTCCAAACTGTTCACCACAAGCCCTCTGCGTCTGGGCTGACCGTGGCTCTGTGGTCTGTACTCACAGTTGACCTCAGACAGCAACAATGGGTCAGTGGAAAGTACACACTGTTCTTGAGTACCAAAATAAAACAATAAACTTTTAATGATAATTGCAAGGGTGTCTTTTTTTGTGTTCTGGTCTGTAGCATATAGGCCCACAGAAAGTGATCACAATGACTCAAGAGCTGATGTGAGTACAAGTCTTATAGACACAAGGCAGCAGTGCCTACCAGGAGGGTGTTACCATCAGAGAGCTTGTGCTTTTATGAAAGAAAGCAGAATAGATCAGGCACAGTGGCTCACGCCTGCAATCCCAGCATTTTGGGAGGCCGAGACAGGAGGATCACTTGAGCCCAGGAGTTCAAGACCAGTCTGGGCAAAACATAGCAAGACCCTGTCTCTCCAAAAAATAAAAAATTAGAGGGGTGTGGTGGTGCACACCTGTAGCCTCTGCTACATGTAAGGCTGAGGTGAGAGAATTCCTTGAGCCCAGGAGTTCAAGGCTGTGGTGAGCCCTGATTGTGCCACTACATTCAGTCTGGGTGACAGAGTAAGACCCTGACTCAAAAAAAAAAAAAAAAGGGGAACAGAAGTCACTGTTAGGGTATTGATTCTCTAACTCACCAGGACAAAAATGTCCAATTTATCTGAAGACAAGCTTCTAAAGTCTATTTATGCTTTGTTATTTTGCTAATGAACACTCTGTTAAAGTGAACCAAGAAATCTTGGGACAATGACTGCTTGTCACATTCCTATGGCAGACACATGGACAAGTAGTGACGTTTTGCTTGGCGTTGCATTTGGTTACAACAATCCTTTTTCGAAAAGATTGGCTGAAATAGTCTTCTGTTTTGTTTTGCTTGGAACAGAACCATGAGTTCCTTTCTGCATCTAAGTAGCATCCGGGAGAAACCCTCTGTGAGTGGAGACCTTAGGAAAGGAAGCCTCTCCTCTGTAACAAGGAGAATATTGCATGAGCCTGTTTCTTGTGGGTAACAGAGTTCCAGGCTCCAGTGTAAGGACTCAAGTACGGGAACCCTGGGCATGCCATCTGATCACATCCAGGGCAATGACAGGACAACCTGCCGAGGCTAGAGGTAGGGCCACCTGAGCTCTCCGACCGGGGTGACAGACTTAAAGGCCAGCCACCTCTCTATGCATCCCTCCTCTGCCCTAACCCCTTCCCACTGAGGAAGTGGAAAAACCATGAAAAGATAAGGACATTTATTTATTTATTTTTAAGACAGGGTCTCATTCTGTCACCCAGGCTGGAGGGCAGTGGCATGATCACAGTTCACTGCAGCCTTGACTTCCTGGGCTCAAGTGATCCTCCTGCCTCACCTCTCGAGTAGCTGGTATCACCATGCCCAGTTAATTTTTTTATGTTTTGTAAAGATGAGGTCTTGCTATGTTGCCCAGGCTGGTCTTGAACTCAGGGCTCAAGTGATCCTCCCATCTCAGCCTCCCAAAATTCTGGGTTTACAGGCATGAACCACCGTGTCCAGTCAAAAATAATTACATTGTGAAAATTGTATTCTTTTAATTGGCAAGTCTATTTTATTGCTGCTTATATAGAAACTGCATTAAATGGCAAACCAAGGGCATATCATAATCTAGCATCTACCATGATAATACATATTCAAGAAAATATTTTTAAATAACACAAAGCAAACTAGGAACTGTGTCAGGGGGCTTGTGTTTTCACTGAACGATAATCTAAAACAGCCTCACCATTCCCCCTGAAGCTGACTGGAAATTAATTTACCAGGCTGAGATCTGAGAGGAGGGGGTGTTGGAATCCTGGCCTCATGGCCACGAATGCCCTTACATCACCCCATGTGAACTGGGAGGACTGTGTCAGTCAGTGTCAAAACGAGTCGTGAAGGTCTGCTGAGGTGAACCTGACAGAAAACTGCAGTGATCACGCTTTCCATTGTACCCTGTCACTCTGCATAGCCACCCTCTGCTGTTCAGTCCTGGTCAGTCCTGCACTCAGGGTGGGGCACGTTTGCAGAGTTTGCAGAGGAGTCCCCGGGCTCAGAGCATGAGACGTCCCACACTGAGAAACAAACTATCCAGAGGATTAAAGATGAGGAGCCATTGTAGATGGTGGTGAAGAGGGTATCAGCTTACTGGAGAGCAGCTCTGTCTACTGGGCCGTGAACTGTACATAGGAATTAGGATTACTGAGAAGAGAGAACTGGGGATTGAAGGAAACACTGAAAGAGTGAGTGAAAAGCTCCCTTCTAGCAATTTCTAAAGGAAAGAGCTAAGCCGTGAACTAATTTTTGGTGTTGTATTAGTCTGCTGGAGCTGTCACAACAAAGTACTACAGACCTAAACAACACAAATGTACTTTCTCACAGTTCTGGAGACTGGAAGTTCAAGATCATGGTGCTGGCAAGGTTGATTGCTGGTGAGGTTGCTCTCCTTGGCTTGCAGAGGGCTGCCTACTTGCCATGTTCTCATGTGGCATAGAGCACTGGTGTCTCTTCCTCAGATAAAGATGCTAGTCCTATTGGATTAGGGCCCTACCCTTATGATCTCATTTAATCTTCATTACCTCCTTAAAGGCCCTGTCTCCAAAGATGGTAACATTGGGAGTTAGAGCGTCAAACCATGAATTTGGGGGGAATACAATTCCATCCATAGCAGATATACATTTATACCTACAGATATACATTTTTTTCATGTGACAACAAATTTTTTTTAAGCCCCCACTTGGCAAGACGTTATAATTAACTTCTAAGACTCAGCAGCACTCTTGCCTCTTTTCCCCAAAAGGTCATATGAAGTGAAGCACTATGACGTATTTTTCCCATTGTGATAAATAGTAAATAGTCACTGAAATTCTAAATGATGTCCTAGGCAGGGTTGACCTAACATACTCCAGTCAAGGCTGTGTGGCTTGTTAACCATTAGTGTTTCCTTCAGAGCAAACACTGGAACAACTTCCTTGGACAGCATTTGCCCCGGAAGTGGCATGCATGATCTGATTTCTAGAGACACGCTGGTTTTGATCCGCTTTCTCATCCACTCGTCTGCTTCCCTGACAACCCCAAACCCATCTCTACGAGGCAGGTCAAGGACCCTCCTCCTGCAGTCTCTTCTCCACTGACCTTCCCACCACTGAGAGTCACTTTCAGTGTTCAAGCTCCACAATGCCACAAACACCTGGAGCTGACAAGCAGATCATGATGCGGGAACATCTGCAAAACAAACAATCCTTCAATCATCTCCAGTACAAGCCCGCGCCCTTCCAGTTCTAAGCCTAACTCCATCTTCTGAATTAACAATTATGCGAAGGCTAGAGAAGATAGTCAGAATCTGCTTTCTCACAAGGTGGCCAGACTACGTGAGTTTCCCCAAGGTCAGCAGCCCACCTACCGTCCTTATCATAGATTGTGGCAAACTCACTGAAGGTCATGCCACTGCCACAGAGGCAGGGCGGTTTCTGGTCTCCCTAGAGACACTTTCCATCTGTAACACAGCAAGCAAGCTTCAGAGCAATGAGCAGTACAGGGCTGTTTCAAGTGCAGTGTGGAAAGCAGGTGAAATGGTTGGGATGGTCATTCTCTCCACATTTCATGTTAAAATGTGATCCCCGGCATTGGAGGTGGGGCCTGGTGGGAGGTATTTGGGTCATGAGGGGGAATTCCATCCCAACCCTTCCTCAACGGGCAGCTCTGGCCACCATTGCCCTCAAGGAAGGAAGGAGCCATCCCTTTTAACAATCGTGTTTGTTAGCAAGCATTATGTGATCTCCTCCTGTATTAGTCTGTTTTTGTATTGCTACAAAAGAACACCTGAGACTGGGTAATTTATAAGGGAAGAGGCTTACTTGGCTCATGGCTCTGTAGGCTGTACAAGAAGTACAGTGCAGGCATCTGCTTCTGGTGGGGCCTCAGGATGCTTCCACTCATTGAGGGAGGTGAAGAGGAAGCAGGCATGTCATGTGGCAAGAGCGGGGGAGGCGCCAGGCTCTGTTAAACAACCAACTCTCACATGAACTGACAGAGCGAGAACTCACTCATAACAAGGATGGCACCAACTCATTCACGACAGGGTAAGAGGCTGTATTCAGCTTCAGTGAATTTTTTTTGGAGATTCTTTCAAGGTGTTTGCCCATTTCACCACGGGTGATTTACACAAAAAACCTGCCTGCATTGCACTGATTGTTCAGCAGTTTTGGACTAGAAACAGTAGGACCACTGTGCCCCACTCTCCCTATTCACCAGATCTCATGTAGAACGACTTTTGTTTCCCTGGATGAAAAAAGCCCTCAAAGGGAAACATTTTGCCCTTGTGGAAGAGGTGAAACTTTAAAAAATGGCAGAAGTACTAAAAGGCATCAAAATTGATGAGTTCAAAAACTGTTTTGAGCAGTAGAAAAAGCATCTCAATAGTTGTATTGCATCAAACGGTGAGCACTTTGAAGGTAGCTGAAGTTTAAACATGTAAGAATAAGTGCACGATTTTTAATAAATAAATTCTGGGATTTTGGGGTCCTCCCTCGTATGAGAGAAGGTATCTTTGTGTTAGAGGATGTATATGTATGTCGGGTATACATATGAGGACAGATGCATATAGAAACTACTTTATTGGCCCATGTCTACTTCTCCTGTGTGTCCATGTGAAACTGACACTAATTCTGGGTGCCTGTGTCCAGTGTTGCAGTCCTGAGCTATAAACAGATCTCCCCATGCCTGACCCTAATGTCCATGAAAGCCATGAATGTCTGTGGAGACTGGCAGATGGAGAATTCTTTGTATTATTGCAGCTTTTCTGTAAGTTTGAGACTGCTTCAGAAATAAAGGAAAAGGACTTTGGATCACTAAGCTTGAGAAAGATGAATAAAAGAGAACTTGGAAAAACTGTATGGTAAAGCATATCCTGAGGCAGGGGCCAGCTGCTGTCTGTCTTTACCCAGGACTACTAGAGAACTGGCTGAGACAATATCAAAGTGAGCTGTCTTGTGTCAAATATAAGAATTTCTTTCTTATAGAACTCGGCTACTAGTGTCTGCTTTGTTTTGACTACTAAAATAGTAGCATAAAGTCACCTCTCTTGATTGGCCCAGAAAAATATAATTGGGGAAACACCTGTTAATTGGTAGAAAGGAATGTCTGAGTTGGTACATGGGGGTATACACACTAACACTTCTCTTAGTGACTAAAGAGAGTTAACACTTTCAAGGAGGCTGGGCATAGTGGCTCACATCTGTCATCCCAGAACTTTAGGAGGCTGAGGTGGGCACATCGCTTGAACCCAGGAGTTTGAGCCCAGCCTGAGCAACATAGCAAAACCTCGCATCTACAAAAAAATCAGAAAAAAAATCAGCCCGGCATGGTGGCATGCACCTGTAGTCACAGCTACTCGGGAGGCTAAGGTGGAAGGATTGGTGGAAGGATCACCTGAGTCCAGGAAATCGAGGCTGTGGTGAGCCATGATCATCATGATCATGCCAGCCTAGGGGACAGAGTGAGACTTTGACTGGGAAAAAAATTTTTTTTTCACAAAGCTAAGTATAAAACTCCTCAATAATAGAAATAGCACTATGGATGATGTGGAATAAATTAATCTCTAACATTTGTTCTTCTTAAAAACATGTTTTCCTACTCATATTGTAAGCAGAGCCAGGGCCCTCCCAGGCCTTCAGTGTGAACTGACAACAGCTTGGAGGCATCTTGGGCTCTATCTACCCCACTTCCCTTCCAAGAAGTCAGCCAGTATCCTGGAAGCTGGTAGGACATGCGAGCTCCCAGGTCAGAGACAAAGGGGTTTATTATTCACAGAAACAGCAGCAGCAAGAAGGTTCGCATTTGTATTGCTTCAGCCCCCGTTCCTAGAGGGTGACAAGAATGGACCAAGGAGGCTGAGCTGTAGGGAAGGGAGCTGGAGTCTTTTATAATAGACAGTGCGCCTGCCTAAACTCTGACTCTGAGTGAGGCATTATCTTGATCATATTGGTCAGTAAACACACATCTCTCTGCTCTGGAGGAAAATGTTGTCTCCTCCTTCAAGGCTGGGCTCTATACAAATAGCCTTGACAAGGTCATCTGGAGCAAGGATGGACAGCACTTTGCTCATGAGACATGCGGGAAAGTACAGGGCCCATGCAGCGTTGTCTCCTGACAGCTCACAGCCAGTTAACTGAGAACAGGAGTAGAAGATAGCACTGGAAAGGAATACATTTAATTAACTTTACAGAAGGGAGGCAGGCCTAGAGAACTGGACTAAAGATGGACAGCCTCGGTGTCAGGACGCATCTGTGTGGGGATCCCAAGTCAACTTCCCCCTGGCTCTGCCGGTGCACAGCACACTCATTTGTGAGCCATCATGTGTGTTTACATGAGAATACTCTATACATCATCAGAGAGTCACATCTGGGTAAAACTCAAATAGAAACCATTCTAAACAGCTGAGCCAATCCACTGTAGTGAGAATATTTTCTATAATTTGATAGTTTAAAACACCTCCTTTCCTCACCCATATTTCATAAACTATTACAGCAATATGCCTCCTACAAACAAGCAAAAAGAGTGGCAAATAATCTCTCATCACTCCGAGCCACATCAGGAAGTCAAGATCACTTTATTTCAGTCTGAAAATGTATACAGTCCCTACTCTGTACTGGGAATAAGGTGATCTAAGGAAAAAGATATCCGTAGTTTGTTATTTCAACAGGTTAATGACTCTATAAACTACAAAGTTCTAACAGTTTGGAAATGTAACACATAGTAAAATATATTCATATATATATATCATTTTTTAAACTGGAGTCTCACTCTGTCACCTAGGCTGCAGTGCAGTGGCATGCTCACGGCCACCGCAGCCTTGACCTGCTGGGTTCAGGTGGTCCTTCTGCCTCAGCCTTCCAAGTAGCTGGAACTACAGGCATGCACCACCACACTCAGCTAATTTTGTGATTTACTGTAGAGATGAGGTCTCGCCATGTTGCACAGGCTGGTCTCGAACGTATAGGCTCAGGCAATCCTCTCACCTCTGCTTCCCAAATGCTGGGATTACAGACATGAGCCACTGCGCCCAATTTATTCATAGATGTTTTAAAATAATCTGATGATATAAATCAGGAGGCAGACCAGTACTGGTCTGTGGCGTTAGGAACTGTGCTGCACAGCAAAAGGTGAGCAGAGCTCCACTTTCTGTCAGATCAGTGGCAGCATTAGATTCTCCTAGGCATGAGGACCCTGTTGTGAACCGCGCATGCAAGGGATCTAGGTTGCACACTCCTTATGAAAATCTAATGCGTTATGATCCCACCCCATCGGTGGAAAAATTGCCTTCCACGAAACCAGTCCCTGATGCCAAAAAGGTTAAGACCGCTAATATAAACTAACTCCACTGGTGTTACTGGGAAAGTCCAGTCCTCCACCTACCTCATAAGCTGACAAATTAGTGTTATAACTGGTTTACATTTCACCCTTAAATATCTTTCAAATGCGAGAAAGCAAAGAACAATTTTGAAGAGAAAAAAATAGTGTGACATCCTCACACTATTTGAATGTTATGGGCTTGAGTTTATTGCAAATTCAGCATTGCTGTACTGCAGTAACCCATGCTGATCATGTTACCTAGAGAACACATCCATCTTTAAACAATTATAACTCACCCAAAACCCAAATAAGTAAATATACAGGAGTTTTAAAATAATACAAAAACTATTTTTATTATTTTTAAAGCCAGCACAGTGGCTTTTGGCATAACTATCCATTTCTAATACAAAACTGGATTAAATAAATATCATCCAATGTATAAATAGACCATGAAACAATTTTGAAGATAAAAAGAGAACTCTTCTGTAAATTAAAAAAAAATTAACTTTAAAAATTTTCTTTAGTGGTGAATCGAGAATGAATCACTATCATTTTAGAATCTGTCAAATATCATACAAATCTTGATTTAATACAAAAGTCTTCATGCTGTAAAGTGTTACACATAAAAAGATTAAATACAAAATCTCTTATAACTGCCTATTGCTCCAGCCATGAATACTTATTTTAATTTTTAAGTGCTTTATATAAAAACTGTCACACACCTATATCAGGGGTGAGTGGGTGCTCCTCTGTGCACGTGTCTGAGGAAGGGTTTGAGCAAGTTCAGAGGGTAAACAGCCACCAAAAAGGACACATGGTTTGCAAACTCCAGCAAGGCAAAGCAAGTGTCTTTGCTAGGAATGTGCGGGGCGCCTGGCCTTGTAAAACACTCTGCTGCTCCCACTTTTATGACAGCGAAGGAGATGCCAGCATAGCGGCCTTTGGTATGTGATCTTTTCATTAGAATAACATAAACAGAGGCCTCAAACAGATACATGACATTAAATTGGGTTATGTATGTAGGCTGAAGTTTTATTCTAAAAAATCCAAAGCACCTACATCACATGAGTACAGATTAAGTGGCAGAAAGAGGAGAACAGTAGATTCAGAACCATTGCATAATCCCACCTCTGCCTTACCTACTATGCAACAGGTTTTGGAGGAATGAGTTAGCCATAATAGAGCCTTGGAGTGATCTTTTTTGGTGGGGGAGGGAGGGCAAAATATTGATTTTTAAATAAGCTTCAGGAAAATAAAATTATGTAGGAAGCAGGCATGAGATCACCTTAAAAATAGTAACCAGAAAGCAGCTCTACATATCTTATACATTTCCTTAAAAATGTTACTTACATAAGTCTGTGATGGTCATTTAATGTCAAAATGGGTATCTTAATGAGTTATCAAAGATATTTCTAAAAAGGGAAATATCCACATAGCAAGAACAGAAATTCACTTCTACTTCCTAAAATCTTGCACCTTTACTAACATGCATCTCTTGTACATGTTGCATAAGAGTTGAAGGAAGACACAGAACTCTAGCCATAATTTCAAAAATCAAAATTCCTTAAGAATGACAGTGGAGTAGTACAAAGTATCACAGGAGTTAAGTGCTAGATACATGGCACTCACTCACTAGCACAGGCTTCTCACGCTCCATCAGTGCAACACTTAGGAAAGTAAGGCGCGGTGTCTGATGAGACCCTCGGACAGGCTGCGAGCGGGCAGGTCCAGTCACAAGATTCCCTCTGTTTAGATTCTTGTCTAAGCACCTAAGTTTTTAAAACAAACAAAAAGCAGAGCTTGCTGGGGGTGGGGGAGCATTCAAGTTGACATCTTGAAGACATGCCTTTGTTTTAATCTATGGCCACTGTAAAAACACAACCAATTACACATTATCTAACTGGCTGGGCTGCACAAAGGCCACGTTACTCCTGCTTCTCAACAGTTTTAAGGCTAGTAATTCAATCTTTCAGCTTAAGTGTTTAACAGTTACTTCAGCAGCAAAGCGGGCTAAAGACAGCTCTGAGCTTTGAAAAGGTTCCTAAATGATTAGGCTCATTTAATAGGGCAGCGAATGAATGCACACGAGAGCAGCCCTGGGGGTCGTCTAGGACTGTGTGGACATGCATGACTCACTGCCGTAAATCCACACCCTGACTCTGAAAATCTGAAGCCTTTCCCATAGACATGGCAAGGGGAAACTCGTCTGGCCTTCACAGAGATAAAGGAAAATCTCATTAAAGTTCTTTTCTGTTATAAATATCTGAACTTGAAATTAATTCGAGGCAAACTATTTTTATCTTGGATATTTCTAAAGGAAAAAGAATTAATTACATTCCCTAACTTCAATTTTTATTTATAGTTATTCAAAGCAGATATGCTATGATGAAATAGTTCTAAAAATACATTTCTCTATCCTCAAAACCCTGGTTATACATGGGGCTAGAAATCTCTTTTCTAAGATTTTTTAATCAACCAGCAAACTATAAAAATCGATCTGTACCCCACAAAGATTCAAGTGAAATTATGTCTTTTCAAAACCTTGTATTTTCAAGGAATGTTTTGCAAAAAAGCAGCAGCTTTTATAATTAGGAAATAAATCAAAATAATACATAAATGTCTTGTGTTTGCTTAAAGAATTGAGAAAAGACACAAATGGAATTTTTTTTTCTTTAACCAAAATAAAAGTAGGCTTTAGATTCACCTGTTAAGGCCTTAAATAGGCAATTAACCAATATAGTTCACCAGCCTATGCTTTCTATATAATTAGGAATTAACCCCCTTTTAGAGATGTCCTGAGATGACATTTAATGCTAAAAGCAAAATAAATAACCCAGAAAGAACAAAAATTTTAAAATTCCAATAATAACCTTGGGGATATTTGTTCACCAAAATTAATCAATATTTCTAAATTATCTTAATACAAAATTGTAAAAGAAAAAGTGCATTAAAAGCAGAACCTTTAAAATTCTAGCACAATTACAATTATTCTGAATACACTAACTACAGCCAGGTATACACACTGACATTCAAGGAAACCTCAGGATTTATAATATGTCCAGTATCACAAGAATAAGTCAAATAAGGCTTTTTTTCTTAAAAAAATATACAATACACAAAGCAGTTTGGAAAAAAAAGTAATATTATTTAACAGTTTCTGACTTAAATATTTTCACATAACAAAAGTTCTCATATCACCATCAATATTACTTATATACATAAGCCAAAAGTGAAAAACAAAAAAACCAAAAGATGTCCTTTCAAAATAACAGTGAAATGTCTGTTTCTTTAGGAATCTGAAATGAGTTCCTCTCTTTATATACAAAGTCCATACAATATTTATAATAAAACCACTCTCTTCTGAAACCAAGGTGGCAATGAGAGAAAACAAAGGCAATTATTTTTCAGGAGGAGAAAAAATAAAACCCAGCTTTATATTACAATGAAAAAGATACCCATTTATTAATAAAATGAATACAATACTGATCTGAAGTGCTTGTAGGGAGGTGAAACTCAGATGCTCTCTCTCTCTGCAATGAGGACTAGTGCTTTTATTTACAAAATATACTGTTCAGCCACACAGAGGCCCATATATCTGTCTATGTACATATTTATTTATATATAGAACATATAAATAACTCTAAAGGAAAAATTAACATGACATCAAGAACCTTCCATCTTTGGAATGCTGTAGGAGCAATGTGCACGCACTCTGCTCCAGCATGGGTGGGATTTGGTTTGGGACATGTTTAATGTGGCACCACTGATGATACTAAAGAATTCCCTGAAATAAAAAAATACATTTGTTTATACATGAAGAGAAAACCATGGGGGTTTTTATGGGTTCTTATCTTTAAACTACAATTATGCTTCTAATTTATTGGGGTGGTCAGGGCCACAGTTACTTGTTCCTAAGAGACAATTCTGTCCTTTCCTATTTGCAATGTATGGCTTGTGCTTCTGCGATCATCTAACCCGTGTACTTGAAAACAGACTTATGCAGTGCGCGTGTCACCTCCTGTGCAGACAGTCTCATCCTCATTTTGGGTCAGGCTTACTCGATTCCCCATGTGGACGCCCCAGAGGCTGTATTCTTTTAACTAGTGATTTGATGTTTATAATGGGGAGAGAATTGGTCCAGCCATCTCTCCAGGTATCGGTCATATTAATTTATGGTAGATTAAAAAGAGTTGATTTCTTCTAAATGCACAGAGAAAAGAGTGAAAAACACTTCCCTGTGTGCTGTAACATTTGCTCTGAACCTCATGCACAATCTCACATCTGCTTTGTAAGCTATGCTTCTTATAACAGAAAGCATGAAGGAGAATCTTACGTACGCTCTTCCAATGTTAATTTTGTCTTTGCTAATACAAAGAAATCACACTACAATGATAGTAAGATCCAGTTAATCTCTTTTAACTAGATACACTGGCCATGAGTAGAAGATGAAACTGCCTATTGTAGTACCTGAGTTCAGTGATTTGTAGACAAATGAGAACAACGTGTTTACATCTTCCCAGTTTTTTTCCTATAAGTCTCTAAAAGACAATGATTCTTTAGATAATTTTATAGCTAAAAAAAGTACTGTGGTAACATTTGTAACACTTGAAGCTTTCACACAGAAATCCCAAGTGCTTTGTTCTTTCCAATATTTAACTTCCAACGTGTTCTTAAAGGCGCTCCCTCGGCTTGTGTCAGAACACGTGGGTGAGGGTCTGCCACTCGCCTGCCGCCTCCTGCACTACCTCCTCCAAGTGAAGGGTCCGGCTCAGCGACTCCCCGTCCTGCTCTGGGGGACCAGCAGACTCCTGCAAAGCACCTGTTGTGCAGGGAAAGAAAACACAAGCAGAGTCTCAGACCTTCAGTAGAATGGGGGGATTTTCACCTAAACAAAGACTTCCTGGTGAATAGAGACAAGACATTCATAAATTTATTTGCTTTGTATCCTTCCATACTAATGAAACAAGAATCATTTGGGCCACAGGTTAAACACCTGCCAGTAGTCATCACTGTCATGTGAGTATGAGCATGTGCAGAGCACCTGTGATGACACTCCCACCCACAAATGCTATATTAACATAGCACCAGTGGTGAGCAGTTAATAATTAACATCAACATGCGTGATTTTCCTAGTAGAAAGCAAAGCAGGAAGCCCTACAGTGTGGGTGTTAGAAAAATTATCCCTTTTTCCTTCTTCAAACACATCCCATGATATGAGGAGTTCTACCTTGGGCTCCGCACACACATAGATGCCTAACACTCAAAACCATGGCTATGCAGTCTCACTCATGTTGCACACTGCTCCAAACCACTGGGTATACCTGTCCCATTCATAATCATACCAAGAGCTTTCCTCAGATTTTACTATTACAACCTCCTCTGCACAGCTACTGTCACCCAGTCTAGGCTATCGCTATTTTTCCTCCTTAATAGAGACAGACAGTACTGCTAGATTCTTTGTAGGATCACATCCCGCTACCCTTACTCTGATGGCATCAACGTTAGCAATCAACAAAGGGAAACCGAGGCCCCTCTGTAGTGGTGTTGGGTCAGCAAGAGCTGACAGGAACACACAGTACAGATCCTGCCTGCTTCTGCGTGACAGTCAGGCTGGCCCTGGCCTGACACGTGGTGCCACGAGCAATGTAGCAGACGCTGAGCTGCATGCTGTGGGGAAAGAGGCTTCTAGGAAAAGTGGTGGAGACAACCCAGAGGTGCTGCCAGCTGGAGTTGAAGTCTTGCCCGGGAAAGTCAAGCTGCTCAGAACACTTGTGCTCTAGTACACAGCTCGCCCTTGCCAAGACAGAGGAGATATAACCGAAGTCTGTGCATGGCGGCTGGGGGCAGCCCCTACTAAACTCAGCATTAAGGTTACAAAAGACAGGCATCCTGTCAGTAAAGCCAAGGTCATGCCACAAACAGGGCGCCATCGCTGTGTGAAGTGAGGAAATGGCATGTGCGAACCGCTGGGTGCCACGTGTCACCCAGCACCGAGGACCATTACAGCATGTCTCACCAGTGCAGCTGTGCGCCCGCTTCATGTGAAGCTTCATGTTGCTCTTCTGCGTGAAGCCCATGACACAGTAGGCACACTTGTAGGGACGCTCCCCTGTGTGCTTCTTCATATGCACCTGCAGGGCGCTCTTCTGGTTGAAGGCCTTCTCGCAGAGTGTGCAGTGGAATGGCCGCTCCCCTTGCAAGACAAAGCACAGAATCAAGAGGCACAGGACAGGCACCAAAAGGGAGCCACTTTGAAGAAGTTGCACGTTCCACAAGATCACAACAACAACCCTCCTGCTCCCATCCCTCAGCCCACCAGTGAACAAGACTCTAGTGGAGTCACTCCATGGCCAAACACAAAATACAACTCTAACCAAAAGCCACTGAGTCACAGAAGCAAACAGAAATAGAGGTAGGGATGGCTGGCTTAAACTAAGTGCTTCTGAAATGTTTTTCGCAGTTAAGCAAAAAGATATTAAATACAAGAGAATATCAAACCCACTTAATAAAAAGTGTGATTTATATATTTTAAACATTGCTATTCAACTGCTTTCAAGGTAACACAGAAACTGAGAAGCTGAAAAAGACGTTGCTGAGTCTGGTGTCTGCTGAGTGCTGCCTGAATGGACACCAGGTGTCAGGCCTCTCTGTCCTGCCACCCTCCTGTCAGTGGTTGCTGTGCTCCTGGGCTCGACCCAGCTTCCCCTGTGCCCACTCAACTTGCTTGCTGCCTCTCCCCCTCAGAGCTGGGTCCTTCCCCTGGCCTTGCAGACCACACAGTAGCACACGGCCCACACTGCTGCTCTGATGGTACCCCCTCCTCATCCTCACAGACTCAAGTGGTGTGGTCTGCTCAGGTCTTTCTCCCTTCTACTCAGTGTCCATGGCAAATGAGGCTTTACCTCAGCACACCTCCAGATGAAAAGTACTAGAAACAGCCCCAGGCTTCATGCCCCAATCCTAGGCACTTGGGTCATGCTTCTTCACACATGACAGAGGGGAGGCCATCATTATGGTCACTTTTCAGTTGACTTTGGGTGAGAAGGGAAATTAGCTGGGGGTGCCATCTGTGAGTCCTTTAAAAACATTTCCTCTGGTTGGAAGTCATCCTACAACACAAGGAGCAGGGTCCTACAACCCCGGGATGAGCCTGGAGCAGGTTCCTCCCCAGGACACCCAGGAAGAGGTCCAGTGGGCCTGACTCCTCAACTCCAGCCCAGGAGGCCTTGAGCAGAGAGCCCACCAAACCCACCTAGATTCTGACCACAGGTGCTGATGGTAGGTGGGGGCCTTGAAGCTGTTAAATGTGGAATAATTTGTTATAAAACAAAAGAAAATGAGTACCATGTCCCTGCCCTTGCGTCTTCCTAAATCTCAGTCAGCTGAGTCTCATTTAAACACAGCTACAGCATGTTTAAATAGCTTGTTCCCCAAACCCTCTGAAGTCAGAAGGGCCAGTAGAGAAGCTGGAGAGGCTGCATGAGAGACAAATGTTGAGCCCCAGGAAGTCAGATGGATCTCCTGGAAAGGACTGAGCGGCTTAAAAGGCACAAAAACAACCACCTGACAAGAAGCACTCAAGAACTTGGGCTTATTGGCTGGGTCAACCCATTAGCTCCTCTTGGGACCTACATGCACAAGAAGCGGTTTAATTCCTTCAGGATCCATAGGCTCACAGAGAAGGATGGAGGATACTTACCAATGCTCCTATCAAAAAGACTAAAACATGACAAAACACTTATCCACCAATGAATATAAAATGACATTAGATAATCTGCCAAAAAACAGGCTATTGAGTTGAGAGTTTTCCTATCAAAACATCTTTTAAAATTTTTGTTTTGTTCAGAGTTTAATATCAGTCTTTATGATATACAAACTGTAAAAGATATATCATATACCAGATGTTATTGCCATATCATCTTGAATTACAAAGAATAAAATAGAAAAACTCAAATCAGATTATAAATCGTAATTTTAAAATTCAAATAAAAATAATAAAATGTAAATGGCAAAATCTACTGGAAAAAATGTTGAGAGTTGGGAGCCAGCCACGGAGGCCCACTGAGCATTAGGGATCAGGAATGGCCGTTGACCCCGAGACCACTAGGATGTGTTCGGGAGCTGTTGACCCCATTCCCTCCCTCCTTTTCCATCTGGCACAAGGAACCAGGAAAGGCTCCACTTGCTCTAACAGAGGACTCTGAAACCGGAACGAACACAGCTAACTTGGGAGTCTATTGTTCACATTTTCTACGGTTTATGCTTTTTGCTTTTAAACAATTTAAGTTTAACTTTGAGTCACATTGAGGAGCCTTAGTGCAAGTCACAGGTTCTCTTGATGTGATTTTAGAAATTTATAGATATAGGTTTTGGAATATAGTTTATATAGATTAAGAAAATTTAAGTAACCATTTTGTTATAGAAGTGTGGTTAGTTCAGTTTGATTCAGGGGGGCCAGGGAAGTTTGAATTAGGTTTGCTGTTGCTAGGAGAGTGTAACTATAGCAGCCACTGTTTCATAGAAACTAGTTTGAATTAGTATAGAATAGTAAGAGGTAATATATCATTATGTTGGTTTCGGGTGTAAGCACTGAATGATGTTATGTAGCTATAAACAATTAAGGGTACATAGAAACTGGATAAGAACTTCATGTGTTTCTTCATGTTTGAAAAATACATCTGCTTGAGAGTAGGGGGTGTCCTGTGTGTACCTGGACCTGTTCATGTGAAAGGCACATGCTACCTTTTGTGTAACCATAGCAGTAGGAGTTCCCATGATGATAACTGCAGAGTTTGGGGATAAAAGCCTTGGGATTACACCCATTAAACAGCTTCTGCACTAGACAGGAGTCCAGTCTCTTTCTTTCTCCCCCCTTTCTTTCTCTTTATATCTATCCCTCCAGTTTAAATCACTGACGCTGTCACACCGACAGAGACCCCCAATCCCTGCAGGGGCAGGACCCCCGCAAAAAAGTTAGCTGAGATAATAAACTGATAAAAAATTAGGGGACGTGGAACACATGGACCTTGCCTTACAAATAACACATGACATCGCACACGAGAGTCGAGTCCTGTCTCCTTATGCAGGATGCTCTACTTCAAAGAGGAATAAAGTGAAGGAAGTCCCTCACTCACCTGTGTGGATGCGGCTGTGGCGCTCCAGCTGGCTTGGCTTGGCAAATGCCTTCTCGCAGGTGTCACATTTAAACACTCTGGGCTTCTGGGAGCTCAAGGAGGGCCCGGCCTGGTGAGTCTGCATGTGCTCCTAGGAGAGATGAAACACAGAAGCAGAAACATTTCAGATCAAACTTCAGAGATTTGAAACAGCAAAGGAAAAACAAATCACTGCAAAAGATCAGGCCAGTGGCAAGGATAAAATCAAAAGGCTCGTCTCTGATTTGCATTTCAAGGACCAGATTCCATCAGCAGAGGTCACAAGGAGACAGGTTGGGTGGGCAGGTAGACAATCTGAGTTTTATTGCCTGCTAGCTGTGTGGCCCAACCAAGTCTGTGTCCCACACAGGGACGGCAGATCTCCTCCACCACACTGTCATGAGGTGAAATGAGACCAGTGACGTCATGCAGGGAGTCTAGTGCAGGAGCCCTGCTGAGCCTCCCTTCATCAGCTGTGGGAGGTCTCATCCTATTTCTCATGTGAGTTCACCCAGAAGTTGTGGCACAGCCAGCCCTGTAGGGTCCTGGGGGACCTGGCCTGGATGTGTGGGACATCCTTCAGAGACTCCCACACACAAGTCCTCTCATAAAACACTTTGTAGGTTTTACAAATGCACAATGGTTACTTCACAATGAACCCCAAATCTTCTAAAGTCAAGATGAACTTTTCTTGTCTTCATCTCCTTATACAGGCCTTGCACTTTCTGGAAGTGCTGTAAGAAAACTCAGATGGCTCCAAAGGACACAGGCAGAGGCAGCCCATCCTCTAATGGGGCAAGAAGAGAAGGAAACAAAGAAAAAGGCAAGGAAGCCTGAGCCCATGGGAAGGGAGGTAAGCACATTACCATCTGCGTGGTGAGGTCAGGGGAGGGTAGAGAGGAAGCAGTGACTCTATCTCCCAAGACCTCCCAGGACAAATGGGTTCAGATCTCCTCCATGGGGCCACTGAAGGGTTTCTCCGAGAGGCTGGCAGCACTGGACTGGCCACGGCAGGGCTGTGTGGAGACCAGTGGGATGCCCACCATTTGTCTCCTAACTACTGGGCAGTCTGTACCATTCCTCATTCCAACCTCTTCTTCATGATTACCTGCTGAAGAGACCCTGCCATGAACCCCTGAAGAAATGGACTCTCAATTTTACACTTAACACCTGACCCTTTTCTTCCAATCCAACTCACTTCCCTTTCCCAATCATGCAGATACCATGCACAGTCTTCTCAGAAAGTCTACAGGGACTGCAACTATGATTTCATTTATCTTCCTGCCCATTTACACACAAAAAAATCCATCAGCTGTGACCCTATCTAGATGAAACTTGGTTGCTGTGGTCTATGCTAGGAGACACAAGAACAATACCCACATCTATAATGTGAAAATCAGAGTACCATAGCAAAAAATAAGAAAAATTAACCTATAATGGGTAAGGTTAACTCTCTTTAAGAGGAATCTATGGGACCTAATGACCTATAAATATGAGAGGAAGTAGTTTCAGAAATTTCCAATTCCATCCAAAATGACAAAGGGCATACATAGCCTCAGAAATGTCTTAACTTGTCTAAATAGACTATTCAGTACAATTTTACTAAGTCTTAAGAATGCTTCTCTTAAAAAAGGGAGGAGACAAAGCCTAGAAAAGAATCTTAGAAATGAGAATGCTTTGCCCTCAGATAGTTCAACTATGAGAAACAGAACACAGGTATGCCATGTCATCTGAAATAGAATCATGTTGAACATTTAACTGCAGCCTGTTTTCCCACCAGAAAGCATTCTCTGACATATTGACAAATGTTCCTTGAGAAAGAGTTCCACGGTAAAAGGTCAACACCAGCTTGAGTGGAAGCCTTTGTTTTTTTTGGAGTTGGAGTCTCTCTCTGTTGCCCAGACTGGAGTGCAGTGGCACGCTCCTGGCCACTGCAGCCTCGACCTGCTGGGCTCCGGTGATCCTTCCACCTCAGCCTTCCAAATTAACTAACACTTCTTGGCTTTACTTTGCTACAGTGAGGCCAGAATTACCAGGAAGGGGTGGTGCTGAGCAGTGATGTGAGGACTCCACATCAGCTGCGCCCCCGGGGCAGGGGCGGGGTGGGTGGGTAGGGGAGCTTCTCTGTGAAAGATACCAAAGAAAGAATCCAAGCAGTCAAAGCAGACATATTTCCTTCAGCACAGTAAAGCATCAAAGAGGAGACAGGCCCAGGGCTGCAGTCAGGGTCCTGGGCAACAGGCTTCAGGCAAGGCTATCAACACCCCAACTACTAGCACATGCCTCATCCAACACCCATTTGCTCTATTCCACACTCAAAAAAGGCCACACTGATGAAAAGATCCAGTATTCCAGTTTCTCGGATAGAATTTCTCACTTAAATAGAGCTCTTCCTTCTTGGAGTCCCACACTCATTAAAAAAACATCAAACACGTGAAAAACCAGAAACACCCCCCCTCAACGCGCGCGCGTGCGCGCGCGCGCGCACACACACACACACACACACACACACACACACACACACACACACACACACACACACAACTACAGGGACCCCAGGGATCCAAACACACTGTCCTCTTGGAGCAGTTTCCCTTCCAAACGAGCTGTGATGCCCACTCTGTCTCCAGAGACATGACAGACCAGAGATCTGAGCAATGGCCAGTGTGTCCGCAGACCACTTGCATCCCCCTTTCTCTCCAACCACCACCTCTGCAGTTATGCCTTCCCTGTGTGTGTGTAATTACTTTTTATCAGTAGACTTAAGTTTTTTAAGGACAGTCTTAGATTTACAGAAACATTGAGCAAGTAGTACAGAGAGTTCCCAATGAACCACATCACCCAACAGGCTCCCCATCACTAACATTTTGTGATAGTAGGGTATGTCTACTATAATTAATGAGCCAGTACTGGTGCATTTACTAAGGAAAGTCCACACCTGATCAGATGTCCTGAGTTTTTCCTAGTGTCCTCTTTCTGTCTTGGATCCCATCCAGGATCCCACATGCCATCTAGTCCTCAGGTCTCTTTAGGCTCCCCTCAGCTGTGATGGTTTCTCAGACTTCCCTTGTTTTTGATGACCTTGACAGTTTTGAGAAGGACTAGTCAGGAATTTTGTAGGATGTCCCTCAAAGGGGATTTGTTTTCTGTTGTTCTCATGACGGGACTAAAGTTATGGGTTTTTAGGAAAAGTGTCATTTTCATTACATGCTACCAAGGGCAAATACCAGCATCACCAATGACTGTGACTATGACCACCTGGCTGAAGCGGTGCTTCTCAGGTGACTCCACTGCAGAGCTGGTCTGATTCCCATTCCTTTCCACACTGCTCCCTATAAAGGGGAAGGCACCCCAGGCTGGACACCAGAGAACCTGATCACATGTCCTTCCTGAGCCTCTCTGAATCACCTGCCAGAGTCCTGCCTTGCCCACCCACATTGTCAGGACACCCTCTGCAGGATGGCCAGGGCTCATCTGCCTGCCTCCCACGGGGGGTATGTGGCGGTCTCCAACAACATGCAGTGACCAGCACCACTCTGTGAACAGCCAGAACAGAGGTACTCCACGCAGTGAAGGGAGCACCTGTGAAGCTGTGCCTCGAAGTGAATGCACATGCGGCTTTGTTAGGAACCAAGCAATCCCCCTATAGAAAATCCTACCAAGCTCAGTCTCACCAGTAATCACCAGTAATCACGTTTATTTTTCCACAGCCTTGATTACAGGAGTGGATGAATTTTTAAATGTTTGCCAGTCTGATGGGGAGAAATGGGGTCTTGATATTATTTTTATTTGTATTAGGAACAGATTTTGAATTTCACGTGAATGTGCAACCCATTCAGCAGTACACCACAACAGACCTGCTATAGCGGAAGCAACCTGGTAAATAGACGTGTATACACTGACTTTTTCCTCAAAAAGATGGAGACATTTATTATCTGGGTCTCTTATTCCTGCTAGCAAGACTCATGACCTGTGCTAAACCTCAGAGTCGGAGTCTGTAGCCACAAGGGAAGGGCAGCCCATCCACTGTAGTGCCCTGGGCCTACCTTGAGGTGCGTGGCACGCTTGAAGGCCTTCCGGCACACGGGGCAGCCGTGGATGCGCTCCCGGCCATGCACCTCCTTGCTGTGGTGCATGAGCACGGCAGCCGACGGAAAGGCGCGCTCACACTCCAAGCACTGATGTACCCGGCCCTCCTTCTCAGGCTGGCTGCCCTGGGCCAGGGTCCCAGAGACATCAGCTACCTGGAATGAGCCAGAAATTCCATGATTTTTCACACACTTTCCTGGACTTGCGTGGTTTGTGAACTGATAGACCACGGCAGTAATAAGAAGGACATTCCTAACATGCACCAAGTCCGTGCCACATGTTCTATCATCTTGGCAAAATGAGCCAGGGACACCTTCAACAAGAACAACACTGCTGGAATACTTGAAATGCGCTGACTAGAGCAAGATTTGGAACACACAATAGTGGTTAACAAGTGAGCCCTGGAGCCAGCGACAGGTCCACAGCTAAGTGAAGTCTGATGAGTGGGCAAAGATAAGAAGACATGAACAGATTTAAAACTAGATCTGGACATCATTAATTGCTGCATCTAATTTTCTGATACTACAACCTCACTCTCTAAAACCAAATCACAGAATGAATGAGATCTCATATTTGTCATTCAAGATATGCCCCTGCCGATCCTCAGAGCTCAGCACCTTCATCCATTCAGATTTGGCTGGGGACACCTCCTCTGAAGCCAGTCCCAGCCACCCGGGGCCTATGGTGCCACCCCATGGCCCTCTCATGCCATCTCTTCTGAATTTGTATGTTTTTGTAAAAGCTCTGAAGGCTCTGTGGATGTAAGCACAGCCCATACCTGGTAGGCTATTTCTTCACAAGCAGTGGACGCTGACTGCGGCGTGTGGCTCACTAGTATGACCTGCGGCGAGCCTGCTCCGCCCTGGCCCGAAAGCGAGGGATCCGTGAGTAGTGCTGGGAACTGCTGACCCTGGGAAAAGATTGGTACTATTTTACAACTATTTTACAAGTTGTAACATTAGCAAACCAAGTAATAATTTTAAAGATCTTTCATTGTACAGCTACTTTGGAAAACAAGTTGGTAGCTGCTCAAAAAGTTAGCCACAGAGTCACCACTTAACCCAGCAACACAGGAGAAATGAAAACTGATATCCACTCAAAAACTTGAATGAAAACATCACAGCAGCATTATCTGTGACAGCCACAAAGTAGAAAGAGCCTAAACGCCCAGCAGCTGATGAATGCATAAATAAAATGTGGTGCAAAGGAATATCACTCAGTAATAAAAAGGTTCACACTGATATGCTGATATATGAGACAACATGGAAGAACCCGGGAAGCACTAAGCTAAATGAAGAGCCAGTTACAAAGGACCATATGGGGGCCATCCTTTTGTTTCCCTAAGCCCTGGCCCCACCCCTACCTGGGGGAGGGGTGAATCTCCTTTCTCTCTCTCTTTAATCTATTTTCTAAATAAACTATATTTTCTGATCTACAAAAAAAAAAAAAGCCACACAGAGGACTCCATTCAGATGAAATGCCCAACAGACAATACCACAGGGACAGAAGGTAGATCTGCAATTGCCAGGGCAAGGGCAAGAGAGCACAGCGTGAGGATGGGCCTGGGGTGAGGGGAACTTAGAGTCGCTGCTAAAGCCTCCAGGTTTCACTGAGGGTGATGAAATGTTCCAAAATCAGATTATGGTCATGGCCGCACAACTCCATAAATAAACTAAAAACCATTAAATTGTACACTTTAAATAAATGGTGAACTTGTGTATATAAATTATGTTCCGAAGTTTTTATGTGTATGTAAATACATAAACATTTATTTGTTTAAAAACACATGTACAATTTTGCTGTGCTATATAAAATCACTAAGTCTTTTCACCTCTCCAGCACACCTTTATGCGAGTAAATCTGACAGAAAAATAAAAAATGAAAATGACAGGGTAGGATGGGGCACATGAGCAGAGAGGAAGATGTAGCTTAAACAATCCAAATAGGTACTGCAAATACTGACTTTATATTAGTAATTCAGTATGCAACTCAAATGCTAAAATGTCAAAAATGCAACTCAAATGCTATACTTCACACATAGTTAACACTGTAGCTGATCACCAAGTCTGCAGCTGGTGTCACTGGCATCTGTGGTTCAGGGTGGCATCTGCTTCTCAATGTCAGAAGGACACAAGCTGAGCCTAGCAGGAAAGGTGAGAACTGAGCAGAGACGTGGGACTGAAAAGCCGGGCTGAGCTGGCCTTTAAAAACTCCACCCATCAAAGAGTTTTAGGTCCATTTCTTATGGAAAAGATGGGAAGGTGGCGAAACTGAGGCAAAAAATGCAAAGTTGTCACGGGGACTCTAGAAAAGGAGGGCTTCTATGGTTGATTTGGATTTTTTACTTCCCATGTGCACCTTGCAAGACAAACAAGATGAGACTATTTTAGGTATCTCCTTTTATCAGTCTAGTTTTTATTACATGAGCTAAATTGAAGAGTCCTTATTTATGCACTAAAGATTCATGTTCACCATCCACTGCACATAGAGAAGTTCACTGAATATTGCTCTTTTCAAATACTAGTGACTGCTACATTTCTTGTTACATGTCTATTGCTGGCTGCTACCACCACTCTTATCATAATCTACCCAATTTGAAAATGGTATAAATTAAACTAAACTTATTTACACGTCTTTGTTTTATTAACCAAAGACCAAAAAAAAGAAACAAACAAACAAAAAACTGCTGGTCAGAAATTCTTATACACATAAGAACCAGTGTTGGTTCAATAAATTCATATATTACCAACCAAAAGCCAAGATGTTTGAGATTCTTAGCTTATGTAGGTATGTCAAAGGAAAAATTACGATCCCTTATTGTTTCAAAATCGAAAAATTATAGAAATAAAGAGCAGAGTGGCAGCTGTGAGGGTGAAGTGGGAGTGGAAGTAGTTCTAAAAGGCAATGAGGGTCCTTGTGGTGACGGACATATTCTGTATCTTAGCTTCTGGATAACAATAATGGTGACATTCCACAGTTCTGCAGGATGAAGATGCCACCTTTGGGGGAATATGGGATTTCTCTGTGTTTCTTAAAATTGCCTGTGAGTCTACAGTTATCTCAAAATAAAAACTGTAATTTAAAAATTCTGAATACAATGTAATTTGCTAGCTTATTATTTGTTTAAATTGTAAATATTAATTATCCTTAATGCAAATTCTGATTCAAAAACAAAGTGTCCAATAAAATCTATATTCAATAATCAGCTACATGCATGAAAGTGGTACATGAATCCACTGAAACGATATAATCTAGAAGTCATTTGCTTTATTATTTGCAGTCTAGTTATGTGCTATATTTGGCCTATACTGAGGTAGAGATGACAAGAATTTGCATTCTCCAAGTGCCATGAACTTTGCAAGAGGATAATATAACAGCAAGAGCTGAGCCTCAGCAGAGTGGAATGGGTCAAAGGCCCAGCTGCTTTACCAGCCCCAGCAGTGGCATCAGATGCAGAAGGAACTGGTGATTGACAGTACAAATTACAGCCCCACTCACAACTATTGACCCAATCTGAGACTACTGAAGCCCAGAGACGTATATGTTCTGGGAAATATTGGGTAAAAAATGACCAAGGGTTGGATATTGATGAATGACATGTGATGTGACAACAAATTTTACCATATTATTAAGCAACCTAATCTACTGTTCACATGTACTATCATTTCATCAAAAATATTTTTCTTTATCTTTTTTTTTTTTGAGTTGGAGTCTCACTCTATCGCCCAGACTGGAGTGCAGTGGCACACTCCCAACCACCACAGCCTCCACCTGCTGGGCTCCGGCAATCCTTCCGCCTCAGCCTTCCGAATAGCCGGAACCACAGGCGCGAGCTACCACGCCCGGCTAATTTTTGATTTATTGTAGAGATGCGGTCTTGCCAAGTTGCCCGGGCGGGTCTCGAACCCTCGGGGTCAGGCAATTCACTCACCTTGGCCTCTCAAAGCACGGGATTACAGGCTAAGCCACCGAGCCCGGCCAAAAATATTTTTCTTAGCAGTTTCATTTCACTGCCCTATATATAATTCTTAATAAACATACAAACAAAAATATTGCGCCTCAACAAAAATGCCTAGATATTTAGAAGCCTAAGGGTCAGTATAAGTAATTTGAGAAGATGAAAGATAAGAAAGCTTTAAAGAGCATGGGCCAATAATTCTGGTTATTACATTTACAACTAACTTTGTTACTTCAGAATTGGCATCTTTTCACATTAGGAGTCTTTAAAGACTTGCCAATTTCTGGCTCACTTCACAGTTAAATTTTGACTTTTTACTAAGATCCACAAGAACATTAAATATTTTACACCTGGCCAATTATCTATAACAATAAAATTTAAAGAAAAATACAAGAACTCACATAAAATAAAATTTCTTTCATGAATAAATTACTTCTTTTTGTATTCAGAATAAGAAACTGAAATTACTTTACTTCCTTGAATAGATTTTTTTTACACGCATGTTACACTTCCCTGTAAAATTGTCAGGTTCAAGTAGCCAACTAGTGACAAACAATTCTGACCCCTCAAGAGTCCGAACAACTCTGGCAAACAACTCTGACCCCTCAAGAGTCCAAAGTTGGGAAAAAATAAATTAAAATTATACTTCAAAATAAAGTAATTTTCCCTGAATTAGAATTATCATCTATTCTTTTTCCATAATTGGGCTCTTTTCAAGTTTTAAATTAGGATTAAGTAAAAAACATATATAATACTTTATATAAAGTACAAAAACATATTTGTTCCAAACTTTGTCTTTTCTTTTTTTATTTTTCCTCATTAAACTTTGTTTTAATGGGTCTCAAAATTCTGTGACAGATTTTTGGTCAAGTCGTTTCCCTTAAAAAGTATTGATTTCAAAAACAAATGACTTAAAACTGCCACACGCAAAAAACAAAAACAGTTCACAAAACATTCTCCCTTTCTTCTGAAAGTTTTCTGATGGATTGTCATCATTAACCAGCCTTTTACTATTAAACTTAAATGGCCAATTAAAACAAACAGTTCTGAGCCTGTTCTTCCACCACTGATTAAGACTGGGGTGGTAAGTATTGGAGATAATATTCATTTAGCCTTTTGAGCTTGCTGGGCAGACTTGGTGACCTTGCCAGCTCCAGCAACCGTCTGCCTCATATCACAGACAGCAAAACGACCCAGAGGAGGATAGTCAGAGAAACTCTCCACATACAGGGGCTTGCCAGGAACCATATCAATGATGGCAGCATCACCAGACTTCAAGAATTTAGGGCCATCTTCCAGCTTCTTACCAGAAAGGCAATCAATCTTTTCCTTCAGCTCAGCAAACTTGGATGCAATGTGAGCCATGTGACAATCCAGTACAGGGGCATAGCCAGCACTGATTCGGCCTGGATGGTTCAGGATAATTACCTGAGTGGTGAAGCCAGGTGCTTCCACTGGTGGATCATTTTGGCTGTTACCAGCAACACTGCCACGGCGAACATCTTTGACAGACACATTCTTGACATTGAAGCCCACGTTGTCCCCAGGAAGGGCTTCACTCAAAGCTTCATGGTGCATTTCAACAGACTTCACTTCAGTTGTAACATTGACTGGAGCAAAGGTGACCACCATGCCAGGTTTGAGGACTCCAGTCTCCACTCGGCCCACAGGGACAATCCCAATACCACCAATCTTGTAGACATCCTGGAGAGGCAGACGCAGGGGCTTGTCAGTTGGACGAGTTGGGGGTAGGATGCAGTCCAGTGCTTAAAACAGCGTGGTTCCACTGACATTACCATCTTTACGGGTGACTTTCTATCCCTTGAACCAAGGCATGCTAGCACTTGGCTCCAGCATGTTGTCACCGTTCCAACCAGAAATTGGCACAAATGCTACTGTGTCAGGATTGTAGCTAATTTTCTTAATGTAAGTGCTGACTTCCTTAACAATTT